GGGCTTTACAGTGAAGGAGGAGACATCTTGTGTCCAGCAGGAAAACTTTAGAAATGAACAACATTTGCTTATTCACAGATTCTGGAATTTATAATGAGGTAGAAGGAGGAGATTTAAGGATTTTTGAGTAGAAATTAAACACATCAGACACACATTATTTTTCCAAACAGACTACTTGTGTGTCTGGGGGTCTTTCAGCTTTTTAACAGTGTTCTACCAAAAATTCTGTTGATTCTAATGGAGTTAAAATACGGTTAAAGTACGATTTTCCAACATATGCATGCAAACCTATCCCTTGTGCCATCAAAGTTTATAGATAACCAGAACAAAAAACACATGCAGGTGTATTTACTGTTCACTATCTGAGAACATGACCTTAACTCCTATGTACTCTCAGCTTAACTAAGGGGAGCGTGATCATCTGTTTTTCTTTTGAAACCTGACCTACTCTGACCCCAAAGCTGTCGATAAGCCTCACACTGCACAACATGCTCATTATTTTCTGAAACGGAGCCCTAAAAACGTATTGGAATTCTACTGAGATTACTTCTCCGCTTTTGCCGGCAGAATGAGTCAGAATGATCACAGTTCGGAATAACGCTCCAAACCTGCAGTTACAACCTAAACAGAAGATCTGAGCAGTGAAAGTCGCGAAGCTTTGAGGACGTATTTCTCACTGACACAATGAACCTTAGATGTAGGCTTGCAAGTAACACTTAATTCGGTTATCAGTTAATCTGCAGATTATCTGTTCAAGTAATCAGTTAAAGCTGCAGTAGGTAACTTGTACAAATAAAAATGATAAAAATGTCATTATTGTTTAAATTTTCACTGCATTCTGACAGTAGTACATGAGACAGATAATCTACAAAACCTCAGGTTCCTCTGGCTCCCTCTGTGCTTATAATGGCATTTGCTACAATCTATCGAGCCTGAACAAAAAGACCCAATCAGAGGCGAGAGAGATATAAAGATGCTTTAGGTTGGAGGCTTGAAGAGCAAAAGTTGATAGTTGAGAGTCATTCCCAGCGTCCCAAAGTGTATGTGTTTGACGGCCATGAATCAACTTTCTTTCTTGGCTCTGATTGTGTGCAAATAGGACAAAAGATTGTTTCTATATAAATTACCTACTGCAGCTTTAATTGTTTTTTCGTTATGAAATGTCCGAAAAAATTGGCAATAAAAAGGTCACATATTGAATTTTGTTGTATTTGATCAACAATCAAAAATCCAAAGATACTCAGTTTCCTATCATTCATAATCCAGAAAAGTAGCAAAACATAAAATCTGAGAGGCTGGAACCTGCAGATGTTGGGTATTTTTGCCAGATAAATTACAGAAATGAGTTATCCATTATCAGTAAAGTTTCTGCTTAATTGTCGTTCAAACATCCAATTATGATTATTTGACTAATTGCTCTGCTTTGATGACAAAAGGGGGCACCTACTCTTATGGTTTCTCATTTAGTTGAATTAAAGGCAGTGAAATACATCTGATTAGTCTGGTGTAACAGAAAAGGTGGAAGTTTAGGCCCAAAGGGTGTCCAATGACTTTACACAGCACTGTGTACAAAAAATGCTTTAAATTTACCAATGTGCTTTAACACAAACAGTACTGTATGTTTTCCAGCTTTGCAGTTGAACTCAAATTGCCACTACAGGCAGATTTTTTTATTTTAAGCCCATTTTGATGCCATTTTGAATCGCTGTTGAAAAGGAACACAGTAGTAGTATTTTTTGCATGATTAGGACTCTGGTTGTAGTACATTTGACTTGCATTACAGCTGTTTTTTTTTTCTTTTCTTTTTTCTAATACCACACGTTTTTAAAAAGATTTCCTAGTGTGTTTTCCTTCCTAGCAGGCAACCCCTGCTTTCAGTTCATTTCACTGCAGATGAAAACCAACTTACAGAGTCTTGAAACTTGTCAGCCAACATCTCATCTGCTTTCGTTTTGGTTGGGAAATTGATGCGTCATACTGCAGAGAATCAAACTGCACTTGCACCTGCATTATGCACAATACCCTAACTTTAACAGAACGAAGCAGGCATGGCGGTCACTGCGCAGAAAGAGTGTGTAAGTTGATTTACAAATTCAATAAAAGGAACAATTCTTTCCAGGACGGCAGGGAAAACTAAAAAAAATCTGACAGAGTGGTTAAAAATGTAAAATGCACCAAACTAAAACATGCAAAAACACTGGTGTGGTCCTTTAACCTGACATGATTGTGTGTGCTTTATTTGGAAAGGAATGTTATAACTGTGAGGGCCCGAGCTACAGGCCACAACCATCTGTCACAATGACTCACATTCACAACCTGCGCACCGTCTCTTGTCCCGCACTGCTGACACTTCCCTTCAGACCCCAGCAACTGTATAACAGACACAGACTACAGCTGGTTAATCGGGATAAGAGGGAGCCACGAGGAAGCACTTGGGTTTCACGGGACTCTGCTTAGAATAGACCCAGCACTCACAGGCAGTCCACTGATCAAAGACGCAACCGCTCCATGTGAAATCCTCCCAGTGGTGTCCACAGTAAGTCAGGTCATGAGACCTCTGGATCCTTGATGGTCAGCTGGCTCTTTGTGATGATTAAGTACAATTCCATTACGTCCAAGGTATGAAAAAAGGTGGGGTTTTTAAAAAAGAGCATTTTTAAAATCTTTAAATACAAATATATACTTACAAAAATCTCACAAATGTATATGTACATTACAAAACATACCAAGTGTCTCCTGCAAGTCCGAGAAAAAAAAAAAATCAAGAGAAATCAAGAGGATAATCATTCAGTTTGTCACTAAGCAGTCTGTGTGAGGGACGGGGCTTAAACCACATCACACTGTGGTCTCGCCCTGTTTACTGTTGGCCAGTCTCGTGTAAAACCTCCTCCAGGAGTTGAGGGTCTTCCCAGACCAGATCCAGAAGCCGGAGGTGATGCCCACGATGAGCGTCATGAGATACTTTATCATGAAGACGGTGAAGTCGGGGCTCATGTTGGGGTGGCTCTGGGCGGGACACGGCACGGCGTACGACTTGCACGTCTGGCTGATCCACGTCCTCTCCCACTGCTCCCTGAAGGCCTGCTCGTAGAAGTAGCAGGCGATCACGATGGTGGCCGGCACGGTGTACAGCACGCTGAAGATCCCTATCCGCACCATCAGCTTCTCCAGCTTCTCCGTCTTGGTGCCGTCGTGCTTCATGATGGTGCGAATGCGGAACAGGGACACGAACCCCGCCAGGAGGAAGGAGGTTCCGATGAATAGGTAGACAAACAGCGGCGCCAGGACGAAGCCCCGCAGGGCGTCCACGCTGTTGATGCCCACGAAGCAGACCCCGCTTAACACGTCTCCGTCCACCTGCCCCACGGCCAGAATGGTGATGGTCTTGATGGCGGGCACGGCCCAGGCTGCCAGGTGGAAGTACTGGGAGTTAGCCTCAATGGCCTCGTGGCCCCATTTCATCCCTGCTGCTAGGAACCAGGTGAGAGCCAGAATGACCCACCAGATTGAGCTGGCCATGCTGAAGAAGTAGAGCATCATGAAGAGGATGGTGCAGCCCTCCTTCTTAGTGCCCTGCACCACAGTCCTTATGTCGTTGTCAAACCTGTCATTGCAAACCACCTTGTCCTCCAGTAGAAACCCAGCAATGTAGGCGATGGACACCATGGTGTAGCAGCCAGACAGGAAGACAATGGGCCGCTCCGGGTAGCTGAAGCGCTTCATGTCCACCAGGTAGGTGAGCACGGTGAACAAAGTGGAAGCACAACACAGCACGGACCAGATGCCGATCCATATCCTGGCGAATTTGAGCTCCTCCTCGCTGAAGTACATCATCCCGTGAGATCTCTGCGGCTCGCAGGGAGCTCCGCAGTTCTCCTGCCCGAGGAAGCGGTAGTTCATGTAGGGAGGCATCCTGAGCGAGGGCGGGCACCTGAACGGGCCGTTCATGGGGTCGGGCAGGGGGCGCTCGGTGGGGAAGTGTGCCGGGCCGTCCGGCTCGGCGCGGTCCGACATGTTTTGCCCGACGCAAAGCTCCCCCGCGCCGTGCACCGGAAAGGACTCGCACGCGAGGCTGTCGGGCCACTGGAAGCCGAACTTGTTCATGAGCGCCTCGCAGCCCTGCCGCGCGCGCTCGCACAGAGAGCGGCACGGGGGCAGCGCCTGCTCGAGCACCGTGCACACCGGCGCGTACATGGAGCAGAGGAAGAACTTTAAATCCGGGGAGCACTGCACTTTGACCAGCGGGTAGAACTGGTGGACCTCCAGCCCCGCGTCCTCCTGGTTGGTGTGACCGAGCAGGTTCGGCATGATGGTCTCGTTGTACGCGATGTCCGTACACAGCGGGATGGATATCGGCTGGCAAAATCCGTGCTCCGGTATAGACATTCCTCGGTCACCGCCGCCGTACTGCCCGTTTACTCGGAAAATCCCCGCGTTCAGGCACAAAATGAACCACAGTAAAGTCAAAAGCACACGAGTGAGTCTGCTGTGGACCATGGTGGAGGGTTTATCCGCTGCCGCACTTTCTGTGTGTTGCTGAACTAACTTACGTTACCTCGCCAGTCAGCTGCTACTTCCTTGAAGGCTCTTTGTTGGCGTTTCTTTGCGAGGTAAAAGCTGCGTCTTCCAGCGGGATTTTCACCGTCCTTCACCTCCGCACTCTGGCCGCGCCGAGGTGATGCGAAAACGTGGTGGGGGAAAACAAATTGTAACAAAAAAACGGGCTTAAACCTTTGAAATCCACAAAAATGAAGCGCACTCCTCCAGGAACGTCACTGCTCCGGTCCTCTGTCTGCCCGACACTGTGTCAGTCTGCCGTTCAAACCTGTTCTGCTCTCCCTCACACATTCCCGCTGCCGTCAGCCTACCCACGGTTCAATAGCGCTTCCGGGAAAGACTTTCTAAATAAAAGTCCATAATGCAGCACTACACTGAATAATTGTGAAATAGGTTTAATTTCTTGGATATGTTCCTTAATTAGAAATAATTAATGCTCTTTAGTAGCAAAACGTGTTTGTGTGCATTCTTGGCAAATAAAAAATGAACAAGATGATTTTAATCTCAAACATTTACCAGGTTGAATAAAGGCAAATAGATAGATAAGACAGTCAATAACTTCTATGTGTAGAGTGTTATTTTTTAAAAGGTTGTATTTGCGATTAAAATAAAAATAATACAATTCTTCAATTAATTTAATTAATAAAAAAAATATATATATTAGGCTTGTAATGAGAAAATATTTAAAAAAGCAATTCAGCATTGTGTTTTAATAAGCTAATGGTTTCAATGAGTTATTTCTAAAATACATTGTACCTATCAATAGCTGTCAACTGCCAAATTTATAATAATTAAAAAAACAGAATAACAATGAAAAGATATGTATTTGTCATATACAATAGTACAATGTCGGGCATGTGGGGTATATCCAGTCAGCTAAACTGCATCTGCACTGACAGACTTCCTGTTTTCATCTGTCTCACTTCGACTTGCTTTACAGATCTCTCTCTCTCTCTCTCTCTCTCTCTCTTCCTCACTCACTCAGTAGGAGCCTGACAGATGGAGGGGTTAGGGATTTTCTGCATTTTTTCCTAATGTTAGCCTGGACTGCTGCAGAGGTTCATTTGGGTTCACCTCTGCACTGTTATATACTGCTGCATGTACAGCATCTTAAATAAACATTTTCATGTGTTATTCCTTCAGTTCTGGGCAGTCACCGGTGTCCATTCATTTCTGTGCAGACTTAATTCTGTGNNTGATTGATTGATTGATTGATTTGAAAAGTCTTCACAGGTGATCACAGTGAGATGTCTCAAGGGCTTGCTAATTGAATTGTGTATTGTACAACAAAGAATGGAAACCATGGAAACACATTGAACAACAGACAACATGCATCCAAACACATCATTTATTTTTCTGTGTGGTATTCTGTTGCTCTTTAGTTGTGGGATCAAAAATACCAATATGTTTCCACTTATGATTCATATCAGTGGATGGTAGGCTACAACAAATCCTGGCTTTTTACTCTCTTGCTGGAATAAATATTTCCACTTGTGGTCAGCTGTACTTATAGAGAATAACTATGGATGGATGGAGGAGGGAGACACCTATAGGTGATTATAGAAGCACAAAGATACACTTGAGGATAGTTAATTGGACTAAATGGTCAAAACAAAACTAAATGCTGTTTTAAATAAAAAGAATAATTAGAATGACAATAGAATACCAAAAGTTTCTTCTTGTGATAATTAAATAATGATCTTAAAACAATGAAAAGGTGGTTATGTTACAAAAAAAAACAGTTGCTTAGATACCAAGATAACCTGCTATCATAAGAAAAGGACTGTTATCCTGAGAGAACCGGATATTTAACATGTGATCAAGGTTAATGAGCAAACATGTTCACTTTTGGCCTCTATACAACAGGTGAATCTACAGAGAATGGGTTACCTCCCATGGAGTCCGCCATGTTGAACATCATGTTCTACAGTAGCCCAGAACGGACAAACCAAAACACTGGCTCAAGATAGGGCCTTTTGCATTTTTTAGTCAGTAAATCCTACACACTGGTCCTTTAAAGCTGCAGTAGGTCATTTTCATAAAATAGCTTTTTGTCATATTTGCTGAAACTTTCAATATAGCCTGACAGTAGAACATGAGACAGATAATCTGTGGGAAAATCAAGTTCCTCTGGCTCCTCCTAGTGCTCCTAATGCATTTTCAAGAATCCACCGGGCCCAAACTGACAACCAAGAAAACCACAGCCAAGAAAGATAGAAAGTTGATCTCATTACCAATGTCAGTATTTGACAATCTGGGAATGAAACTCAACAATAAACTCTCTTTCTAGGTTCTGATTGGTTATTTTCGTTCAGGCCTGGTGGATTTTTCAAATGTCTCTGTGCTGGTATCGACATTGTTTCCCCTACACAATACACAGTAAAACATTTAGCAACTGAATGAATAGGTGTAGACCAAAACAGAGTTAAAAGATATATATATATATATATATATATATATATATAGATATATAAACACAACTCGAAATGAGTGAAAATGCTTTTCAAGATTTCCTTACATGTTTATATAAAAATAATTAGATTTCCTCTCAGCTGACGATGAACACTGAATCAGAGTAAGGGAATGTGAGTTTAAGGTTGAGGGAAAGCTGTATTTCTGTTTTCTTGATGCACTTCAGCGTCCATCATGTCTAGTTGTGTTTGCTCTTAAAACTGCTCACAAGGTTAATCCTTGACATGAATTTGAATCTACTCCAATGGAATCAAGTATGTATGACAAATCGCCGCTCCGTGTGCAGACAGAATGCACTTTGAGAGTATGTTTTGTGTCATTTCCAAGAACCGGCCAAGACATAACTTCCTGTAATCAGCCCTCGCATGAAAAATCTGTTTATTACCGAAGAGGGAGACATCAGCCGAAGGTGGAAAAATACATACGATCCCTAATGTAGACAAGATGAGAGCAGGGCTTTTCAACTGGCACCGCAGTCTGTCTGTCTGTTAGCAGGAGGAGAGAAGCAAGGAGTGTAAAATGCACGCTGACAGAGGAATGCTACATTTTCTTCCTTGGGCTGTACAGAGGAGAGAGGGAACTGCAACCAAACTTGTGTTACCAGAATGTGTTGGTAGACTTTTGTCTTTAGCTAACTTTACTTTATATACCAGAAAAGCCTTGCTGATATGTGACTTGAGATGATCTGTGGAGTTTATGCACAAAACACACTGCATACTGCATTTATGTTAGCTATTCCTTAAGGGACTGTATCATTATTTTTGCAAGTGTATGCTATAAATCATACATACTGTACATTACAGAAGCATAAAGAGTCAAAGCCCACTGAGCTCTAAATGGAATTTTAATGTTGAAAACTGGGTAATATTTGGTTTGAACGGCTAAGACATCTATTCAACCAGCTACGATGCGGTTACAACATCAGCGTGTCACAGAACACAAATTTGTTCAGTTGTAGGTTGACAGAGAGACACTACTGGTTAGTATGAAGGTATTTCTCCAAAGTCCCATTAAGACTTAATGTCAACACATTTAATCTTTCATATAAAATGTCAGACATATTGAACTATATAGGCTGTGGGATGTCAATAAGAAGTTTCCAGGACATCATAATGGAGAAAGTTCTGTACATTAATGTAAAATCTAAAATTCTGATTACTGCTGTAACACGCATGTACTTAGTCAGTGGCCTTAGGAAGTCAGGTAAAGTCACTATTGGCAGGAAGATGAGTGATTTAAATGCAGGGTCTCCCTCCAGGATTCTATGGTTTGGGTCCCATGTGAGGCAAGTTTTTATATTTACACTGGCTTTCAACTGAGACATTTGGATGTGGTTTTTGGCTCCAGAGTGACCATAGACTATTATTTGCACATTGTGGAGGATGAAAATTTTCACTATTGCAAATCCCAGTGAAATATAGTCTAAATATGAACATCCAATCAACGTCTTCAGATATTTGTTGAAAAAACTTTTGTACATCTTTTCGCCGATGACCATAGTTCATCTTTCCTAAACCTGAGCAAAAAGCTTAGTTTGAAAGTCTAACCGGGTGTTGCATATTTATTATTGCGAACTTGACTGCAGAGTCCTAAAGGCCGTAATTACGACTTAGATGTTGAGTGCTGTTTCCAAGTCAGAGCCTGCTAATAACCATAATTCCAATATGACATGAACTTACAATAACCTGCACAGGGTTTGTGTTTGTCGAAGGCTTATAAAAGCAGAAATAAATAACAATATCTCTCATGCGGTCAAAAGTTTTCCTTTTTTTGTTTTGATTGGTTGCCAACTTTAACAGGGTGGGTCTTGGGTAATATAAGAGGCCATGAGGGCAGACAGAAATGTGATAACACTCAACCCTGAAGTATTTTTCTTTAGTTTTCTTTTTTCTTTTTTTGGGGCATTTCGCTTTATGTACAGGACTGAATGGAGAGACAGGAAAGACAGTGGGGAGAGAGGGGCCAGACTGGAACCCGGGCCGCTGTGGTGAGGAGTGTCAGAGTGCGCCCCATATGACATGTCAAGGCTATTCATGACATGAATGATTTTGAACAATTGAGACTTTAAATTGAGTTATAATCCATCACAGTGAACATCATGTTTACTTTTTTTGTTGCTGGTTACTGTTACATGGTTTTGCAGTTGTAAATGAGTGACTGGTGGTTGGATTTGAAAGGCCTGCACTGCATTACCCCGTAAACCAAGCAAAACAATAAAAAGGTTTCCATTCAACCAACAGCTGCCTGGAAGGTCTGAAAAGAAATCTAAAATGCTATGGTATGTTTTTGAAAATGTTTGTAATTAAAGGGCAGAAAACAATAGTATTGTCCTTTATAATGGTTCCATGCAGTGGCAGACTCAGGCTGTGTGAGGGGCATTGGTGGAAAAACATATAAAGAGCGCAAAAAGCGCCCTGGCACCAACTTTTCAAAATCAAACTTGCAAAAAAATAAAGTAAAATTCTTTGGTAGATTTTTTTGCATATTTGATTTTGGAAAGTTGGTAGGGCTCCAGCCAGTTCCGTTATATATATATATAACATACTCTGTGACCACAGCCTATGACAAAGCAATACATTCTAAATCATGTGTTTCAATAAAACTTTTCCCATTTCCCAAACTGGTGGCCTCGCTGCCCTGCCCTGTGAAACTGCAGTGCTGATGGACCTGACCAATTTGAATTGCATTCTGCGGTCCATGACCAGCAGTTCCATGTACAGTTGTATTACCCTTTAGGAACAAAATATGTTCCAAAGATAGTGGACATAACATCGTCACTCTGCCTGTCATCAAGGCAGCACCCATGGCCTTGATTAAAATGATGTGTCAGAAATTGGACTAGGGAACAGG